TATAAGAGACAGCTTATATAATTTCTGTTCTTAAACAACTTATATAATTTCTTAAGTAACATAATGAAATTGAATAACATTTACATGTATAAACAGTAGGAGATAAAAAAATTAATCCTTTGACTACGGTTGACACAGAGTTGTACCACATAATTCAGTTGCACAAAATGCAACTGCAATAATAAATAGTAGAATAATATCAGCAGCACGATCAGTGAAAAAAATGTAAAAAAAAACCGATTTAATGAATAATAATAATGTGTATTCATAAACACATTCAGCAATCGCAGCATATCAAGTAATCCATATTTGATATGCTGCGTCAAGAAGAATGACTATTTATTTATTAACTGTATTGAACTCGATCTCTTGTAATAATGCTGCTGAATGTTCTTCCAATGTAAACATCTATATAAATTAAAATAATCGAGAATTTTTCTACTAATGATGAGATATTGACAGTGACATTTTTATTAAAATTGATTAACGAGAAACTATTATACAATGACGTGTAACCATCATAATAATATTCATTTTTCTCATTTTTTGGTTTCTTTGTCAAAAAATTGAAATAAAATTAATGATTGAAATTCTTTTCTAGCTACTATATAATCGGAAATTTGATAATCGCCTAAAATTGAGATACTAGTCTAACTCGTGTATAATAGAAAAACAGTGTCATTTATATGTTATGTAAATATATGAATAGCATGGAAAAAGAATGTGCATTAATTGCATTCTTGTTACACGTATAGTAATCTTTGACTAATAATTTGGTAAAAAATAAAGACAAATAACTTGATAAAAAATAAGAACAAATTATGATATAAAATACAATGAATAACAGGCCAAATACGAGCAGACAATGTTTAAGATGTATAATTTATTTGTTCATAGAAAAATTAATAACAGCGATACCGGTTTCAGCCTTACTCGACCTTTATCAATCGCAATAACTAACATAATTAATATTCTAACCGTAGTTGCTCATGACAACTTAATATCATAAAATTTCGTAATATATCCTTAATATAAGCAGTCGAAGAACGCGTAGGGTAAATTGAGAAGTCATACACTAAAATATTCCGCAGTCCGTAATTATAAAAAACGCAATCTCGACTTATATAACGATTGAAAACCTTGTCGAATGTTAGTCCTCGTAGTCTCTCTTAGGATATTCGTATAATTAAACCAGCAATCAGTATTGTCGATCATGTCGAGTAAAGAGCCATTATCTGAATGTGCTGATAGCAAGCACCCGTATCTAATGAGTGAATTTATTTATGTAGATTTTTGACTACAAATTATTCTATTATATAAAGACAATTATTTTGAGCTAATTGACTCAAACCTCTCTATATAACAATGTAAAAACTTACTCATTCGCATGATGGTAAAAGGCTCGCTGATTACAACGTGCGTTATAGTCGATGTTGCGATGCGAAATGAGAGCGCTGTTTTAGTAGTGTATATCGGAACACAAGTACATATTTTGTGGAGTAGTAAACAAATTCAAGGACTCATACTAATTTGAAAAATGCCCGTTTGCTAATCTCTCTAAAAGATTGGAATATGCGTCATCTAATAGATCGGAAGAGCACACGT